TGTGGTGTTCCGACACACATGCGATGTCTCACTATGCCCTCTCCACTACAAAAATTATCGAACTCAGAATTGTAAAATTCCAACCTATTGTCAGTTCAAAGACGCTTAACTTTTCTTTCTGTCTGCCTCTCAACCATCGTCTTCCATTTAACAAATGTCGGAAATGCCTCATCTTTTGTTTTTAGAAAATACACCCACACCATCCTCGAGTAATCATCAATCAAAGTCATAAAATACCTAATACCACTCTTGGAAGAAACTCTACTTGGACCCCACAAGTCTGAATGTATATAATCTAACTTGTCTCTGGTCCTGTGTTCGACCTTCTTGCTAAACTTTATCCTTTTCTATTTACCAATCACACAATGTTCACAAAAATTCAAAACTTGATTTTTGTACCCATTCAGAAAATTCTGCTTACTCAACAAAAACAATCCCTTATCACTCATACGACTAAGTCGCAAGTGCCACAACTGCGACTGATTCAGATCATTATTCCAAGAAGCTACAACAACTACCCCTTCAACTACACTGGCCTGAAGATGATACAATTTAGAATGTGGTTTACCCTTTATGAGTACCATGTAGCCTTTACACACTTTAAGTATTTCATTCTCTGAGTGAAATTTATACCCTTGATCATCCAAAGTCGAAAGAGAAATGAAATTTCTCTTTATCCGAGGAACACACGAACACTCAATATTTTTGATAATTCCATCGAACATTCTCAATTTGATGTTACCAATCCCCTCTATTGGTAATGGATTATCATTTTCTATGTAGACAGTCCCACTCATTTGCTTGTAAGTTGCAAACCAATTCTTGTGTGGACACATATGAAAAATAGCACCAGAATCAAGAACCCATGAATTCTGCCCATGACTATAACACACAACACAAACTTTCCCTACATAGTCACTATCATCAGAATTATTGCTAGTGTCAACAATATTTGTTGAATTGTCTGTTTTCTATTTCCCTTTTTTCTTCTTCAGCTTAGGACAATCTCTCTTGTAGTGACCTTGCTCCCTGCACTCAAAACAGTTTTTCTTCCTTACTCTAGACTTTGATCTGGCGGTTGGCTTTTTTCTGGTCGACTTTTGCTTTTTCGTAATGGTCCTAGAAGTCAACCGGTCATCTTCGACTCTTATTTTGGATTGATATCGATTGTGCACATCTGTCCAAGTAATAGCTGGGTACTCGATCAGATTTTGCTTCAGCCGCCGCGAAGCCCTCGAGCTCCGCTCATTTAGACCTTGAGTGAAAGCTTGAACAACCCAATCGTCTGTAACTAGTGGAAGATCCATTCGTTCCATTTGAAAACGAGCTACGAACTCCCTTAGCATCTCGTTATCCTTTTGCATTACCTTGAACATGTCCGACTTTCTGATTTCGACCTTTATGGCTCCAGCATGAGCTTTTACGAAGCAATCTGCAAGCATAGCAAAAGAATCAATGGAGTTAGATGGTAAATTATGATACTATATCATTGCCCCTTTTGACAGGGTTTAACCGAATTTTTTTTAATAATATAGATTCGATCTCATCATCTTCCAAATCATTGCCCTTGATGGCACACGTGTAAGAAGTGATGTGCTCGTTGGGGTCGGTCGTTCCGTTATATTTGGGTATTTTGGGCATACGAAATTTTTTGGGGATTGGTTTTGGGGCTGCACTCGAGGGAAAAGGCTTTTGAATGAATTTTTTTGAATCTAGCCCTTTTATCATTGGTGGAGCCCCCGGGATCTGGTCGACCCTGGAATTATATGTTTTTACTTTTTTATCGTTGGTTTCGACTCGTTTTGTGAGTTCCTCGAGCAATTTAGTAATTTCGGGAGTAGTCCCCGATTCTTGCTCATTTGGCTTCTCTATGGATGGTTCCGTTCTGTGGGTGACTTCTCGAAGCGGATTAGGCTCCGGCCTGCTTTGTACCTGAGTTTGGCTTTGCAACTGAGCTATCGCTATTTACTGGGCTTGTAACATCTCGAAGATCATCCGTAAGCTGACTCCGATCTCCTCCACGTTATGAGCGTCTCGAGCTACGGATCGAGTACCGCCCTGAATGCTTCTTTCCGGTTCGGAATGCTAATTCGCCCCTAGAGCTAATTTTGAATTGACATACAATGGTACTTCGGCTCGAATTTCGGGTGCCATCATCGAGTGGCCTTCCGACCCCGGGTGCCAAGTTGTTGGTTTCATCTTGAAGGCCGGCTTCGTGGTCGATATGTGAAGCCATTGCTGATTTAAAGTTGCAAACTGGCGTGTACTTTAGATTTATATCAAACGATCACTGTTACCCTTAGCCCCACGGTGGGCGCCAAACTATTTACCAGAAAAATCGGATAACGTTAGATTTGTGGATGGTTCTAAGGATATGCGATACAATTTGATATAAATTGCGTAGAAAAATGAAAATATGTGTATTTTTGACTGTGAGAACGAAAATAATAAGCAAAAAGAATGAATAAGTAAAATAAGCACAAGGGGATTACTATCAATATCTAGAGGAAGTGATCTTTTTTTATGTCCCCCCCCCCCC